GCTCAGATTTTGTTTTTAGATGTGATTTCTTTCCTTCTTCTTTCTTTCTTTCTTTCTTTCTTTCTTTCTTTCTTTCTTTCTTTCTTTCTTTCTTTCTTTCTTTCTTTCTTTCTTTCTTTCTTTCTTTCTTTCCTTCCTTCCTTCCTTCCTTCCTTCTTTCCTTCCTTCCTTCCTTCCTTCCTTCCTTCCTTCCTTCCTTCCTTCCTTTCTTTCTTTCTAACAGCCCAAGCTGGCCACAAACTCATGACCCTCCTGCTTCAGGCTCCTGAATGCTGAGATTACAGGTGTGCACCACCACACCAGGCTCTCACCTTCAGGTCAAGTTGGAGTCTCCAAGTTGGAACCTAGCATACAGTAGACTTTAAAAGCCTAGCTGAGATAGCAGTGGGTGCACCTGTGTTCCAGTTATTTGGGAGGATGAGGAGGGAGTGTGGCCAGAGCAGGAGTTGGGGCAACATAGCTCCTGGAACCACAGCGGGAGACCCAGGCTGTAGATCTTTCTTACCCAAAAGCTGAAAATGAATTAGATGACAAATTCTATTTCCTTCGTCTTCACATTCTGTGTTGGAAAAAGGCCTCAAGTACCCCAAGGCCTCCCTGAGGGCAGGTGACTGGCTCAAGGTCATAGGGCTGGGAGCTGACTGAGCCTGCCTTGGGCCAGTGCCACCTTGGAAAGGATGCTATGGGGAAGCCGCTTGCTACTTACTCCACGGTGTTGGCGGTCCAAAAAGCCGCAGGAGGCTTTTGCAGGCAGCCAAGTCGGATGTAAGTCAGGGGAGAGCCCAGGGCCAGCCAGGCCCTGCAGACAGGCCTGGAGGCTCCAAGCAGTGTGTCAGGACAATGCCCACAGCGTGGGATCTGGCAGGTTGCCTGCTGGGGTGGTGGTGGTGTTAGGGGGCTCTTTGAGAGAGACTCTTGGCTCCTGGAAGACAACACAGGACCTGCTGGAACACCCCTCAAATGGCCTCCTGTTATCTAGATACATCCCAGCATGGGGACCAGCAGAGCAGGGGCTGTGCTAGAGGCTGTCCCTTGACCCGGGACTGGCGCAACGCTTGTGGAAAGTCGCAACCACCTGGAATTGTCTCAAATTGGGCTCTGCTTTGAGGATGGAGTGGGGCCCTGTGGTCTGGTCTCCTACCCTCCTGGGGCGTGTATTTACATGGGTCATCTGGTATCAGCAACTGGAGGAAAGGGACAGATTGAGTTTGAGTTCTTAGAACATGGTGGTCCCTGGATCAGAAGTGCCAGTTATCACAGGATGGTGGAGAGACTAGGTGGCTCCATCCACATCTGGCATTTAGAGCCGGGGGCGGGGTTCACAACCTGTTGTGAAGAGTCCTCCAGACCTTTCACAGGCCTACCTATGAGGAATGATTTAAACTTGTCTTCTTCCTGTGTGCCTTGAGGTGAGGGGCTGAGGATGAGGGGGAGGGTCAGGCCTAAGCTTTGCAACAGACACATGATAGATAGAATGTCAGACTGTGGGGGACCTCAGATGTCAAGTTGTCTGTCACCTGCATCCTCCACCTTGGTACTAATGGGCTGAATATCAGAGAGATAAGGAGTGAGCATAAAACAACACAGCAAGTTCAAGTCAGGGCATAGGTCTCACACACACACATACACACACACACACACACACACACGTTATATAATATACACATATATTGGTGAGGATGGACACAAGACTTTGTTCATACTAGGCAAGCACTCTAATAACTTTTATTGGTGTGTATATGTTTTTGTATGTGTGTATGTATGTATGTATGTACAAGAGTATACAAGTATCCTATGAGGCCAGAAGAGGGCTTCAGGTCCCCTGAAACTGGAGTGACAGTTGGTTATAAGCCTCCTAATGTGGGTGTTGGGAAATGAACTCTAGTCCTCTGCAAGACTGGCAAGAGCTCTTGGCCAATGAGCCATCTCTCCAGCCCTGCATTTATTTAGTTTTCGAGACAAGGTTTTACTGTGTAGCTCAAGCTGGCCTCAAACTTACTATGTAGCTCAGACGTCAGTCTGCTTCAGCCCCTCTAGTCCTGGGATTACACATGTGTGCCTCCATGCCCTAATAAGACTGGATTCTAGCCAGGCGATGGTGACACACGCCTTTAATCCCAGCACTTGGGAGGCAGAGCCAGGCGGATCTCTTACGAGTTCAAGGCCAGCCTGGTCTACAGAGTGAGTTCCAGGAAAGGCGCAAAGCTACACAGAGAAACCCTGTCTCGAAAAACCAAAAATGGTTGTAGCTGGCAGAAATCGGTTTAAATTAACTTTAGAAGTAAATAGAACGTTTACTGATCCTTAGGTTAGGTATGCTTCAGGATGGCTCTATCCCGCTGCTGAGCAGTCATTAGTCTGCTCCATTTCTGGGCTCTGGGTTCCTCAGTGCCTACTTTATTCTCCCTGGGGCACCTTAGCTGCCCCAGTGGAACCCCACCCCACAAGCCAACTTAGAAGGAGCCTTCTTTTAAAAAAAAAATTAATTTTAGGATTATGTATGTGTGCATGGTGTGTGGATATGTGTGTGTTGGGGGCAGTGCACATGGCATGGCATGCATGTGCATGTCAGAGGAAAACTCTGGAGTCTGTTCTCTCCTTCCACCTTCGTATGGGTTCTGGGGATGGAACTCAGGTCGCCAGGCTTATATGGCACATGTCTTTAACCCGCCGAGCTGCCTTGCCAGCTCCCCAAACCCCAGTCTTTTTTTAACAAGAGTTCTTCCCGGCATTCTAATTGTCCAGGCATAGTCAAGTCCACGAGTGAGCCAACCATGACTGACACCCCCGATTGGCCAGGCCTTGTTCACATGTTCCCCGGGAAGTAGGAGGTGAGATCAGTTCCCAGATACGCCATAGGATGAGATCAATACTTGCACATCTCCAGGTCAAATCAGTTCAGGCTGTTCCCAGGGTGGGTGTGGGTGCTAGCAAGCTAGACAGGCCCACTGACACAGAAAGGTACTCATAGCTGTCTGAGGTGAGCTGGCCTCTTAGCAGTCAGGATTCACCCCAGACAGAGTGACATCCTTTGTGGTTCCTTGAACACACACACATGTGGAGAATTGTACTTGAAACATGCCGACTCCATCCTCCTCTATCTTTCTTCCTTTGGCACAGCCCAGGAGAGTCAGGTACAGGCCACTTTCCATTTCTGTGCCTCACTCATTGCAGATATTGCCAGTCCACCTCCACTTCTGTAGGGAAGTGTCCAGCCAGGAAGTGGAAGGCGCCCCCATGGCTTCTTGCTCATGTCTCAGTCTCACCCTAGGATTCTGGGCTCCTTGAAAGCGAAGACCTCAGCTTCTTGGGCCCTCCTGTGATCTTTCCCCATACAATGCCTGGCACATAGTAGGTGCTTAAGAAATTGTTGACTACTCCTACTGTGTGGTACCTTGGACTCATTGAGTGTGCCATGACGCAGCAGTGAGAGGTTTGAGGAGGAAGGGTGGTCTGTGCCGATAGGGCAGCCATAACTTTGTTCAGGTCGTGGAAGAAGCTAGAAGGTAGAGCTGACAGGGAGGAGAAGTGGGGCTTAAGGAGGGACAGGTGCCCTTGCCCACCTTCCTCCCACACCCCTGTGCATCACCATAATCCCAGTTTAAGTATCCTTGAAATCTTAGATCTCTATCAACAAGAACGCCTTCCTGATCCTACACATTTTTATATTCCAGGAAAGCTGAAAAGCCTTCCTGTGTCTGGGCCAGCAGCGCTGCGGGTGGCCTGGGACTCCAGGCCCAGAGCTCTGCCCCCGCTTGTCTGTTTCCCAAATCCAGTCCTAAAGAACAGAGGCTCCCTGTTTTTTTTTTTTTTTTTTAAGCGTCTGGGGTGCGGCCCTGTTGTGGTGCTCCCACTGAGCGTGCACAGGCCTCTGTGGTCCACCCTAACACCATAACGTGAACAAATAAATCGGAATCCACGAGATGGCTTCTGGGCCATCCCCAGGGGAGAGCTGTTGCGCAGTAGAGTTCAGCAAGTTTCCTGGACACAAAGGTTCTCGGTACGTTTCATGGGGTAATTGGTGGGCTCTTCCTTCTAAGACTCTTGGGGCTAGGCTGTGGAGGTGGCTTAGCCAGTAAAGGCATTTGCTGCCCTGCTAAAGCCTGTTGACCTGAATTCAGCCCCCAAGACCCACATGGTGGAAAGAGTCTCCTGCAAGTTTTCCTTTGACTTCCACATGACACCCCTCGAAACACACAGAAAAACGGGATCGTAATGATGATCACAACAATAAAAAGAATAGTCTCCACCCCTCTGTCTAGCCTTGCCTTGTCTATAAGGGGGTAGCCAGTGACAGGCCTGGGCCCTGGATGGCTTACAGAGCTGGTCTAGCGAGTAGCTTAGCAATGCATACCAGCAAAAAGAACCTCTCTTTTAAAAAAAATTGTTATATGTATGTATGATATGTGTGTGTGTGTGTGTGTGTGTGTGTTATGTGTATATGTACCTGAGCATGCCACAGCATATATGTAGAAGTCAAAGGACAACTTGCAGGAGTCAGTTCTCTTCTTCCACCATGTGGGTCTGGGAAATCAAACGCAGGTTCTCTGGCTTGGCAGCGAGCTCTTTTACCTGATGAGCCGTCTCCCTAACCCAAAAGGGACCTTCCTTGTACATCAAACCCACCAGGGCTTCCAGCAGCTCCTCACAGTGTGATTCATTGGGACTTGGGCTGTCTGGGTTCAAGAGTACTGAAGCCAGAGGAAGGATTCAGACTGAGTGAAAGGAAGGAAGGGAGTGTGGGTGGGTGGGGGGAGAGAATATGTTTGTGTCTGGCTGACCACATGGGTCTGCATTAGCACATATGTGAGAGTGCAGGTCTCTGTGTGCATGTGCATGCTTGGGATTCAGCATTCCCCATGTCGGGTCCCTGGTCCCACCGGCTCAAAGGAGACCCCTCCCTAGCACATGTGTGTTGAGAGTCACCCATGGTCAGACCTGGTCACTCTGGCTGGGCGCGTAGGCCCTGACCACACCTCTTTGCTTCCTCTTTGCAACAGGTGCAGAGCCAGCCCCACAGCCTCTTCAGAGGAGCCTCTCAAGCGTAAGTAGTTTTTCAGCTTCCTTATAGGCTCAGGCTCACCACCGCTACCCACTGCAGGATCCTGTGGGGGAGGAGTCTCCAGTTTAAAGTGTCCTCCAGGCTCTAGGGGAAGACAAGATCCCTGAGGTAGCCCCATCACCTTCCCTTGTTCTTGGCACCTCTGGGTGGAGGGTCACTTGGCCTGTCTGTACCCGTGCTGTGCCAGGGAGTAGATGTGGCAGATGTCGCATGGAGTGTGGGGCCTTGGATGAACTGATTCTGAGACCCACCTTCAAGAGTGGCCTGGCTCCAGACAGGATGCTCCAGATTTTGATCACGAGCCTCTCTAATCTCTTCTGTACGTGTGCGTGCGCGCGCATGCGCGCATGTGTGTGTGTGTGTGTGTGTGTGTGTGTGTGTGTGTGTGTGTGTATACACATGCAGGCGCTGCTGGGGATGGAAAGGTGCTAATTCTGAGCTCTACCACTGAGCTCTAGTCTCAGCTTCACTGAAGGGCTTATTAAAACAAAACTGAAAATCAGCCAAGTGGTGGCGAGATCTCGGTGAGTTTCTGATGCTTTTCCCCTTGACGGTCCTGGGGTTGATGCTGGCCAAGGTGTTTCATCTACACCCACCGCTGTCCTGTGAAGAGTCACATTCATGGTGTTTTTGCTGAATCATCGGGAAGTAATTCACAAATGGGGTGCCCCTTCCCCTAGTCCTTCACATATTTCGTAAGAGCAAGGCCATTGTCTTATGTAACCACAGCCCAGTTATCAGCTCTGGACATTTAACATTGACATAGTTCTCATATCTAATCTGCTGATGGTTTGGGTACTTCCTACAGCTTGCTTTTTCTTCTCTTTAATTCTTTTTCGCCTTTCTTCTAGTTCAGAATTGTAATAGTGCCCATAAGAAGGATTTTGATGTTGTTTCCAGACGGATTTAGCTCATTTTAAACTTGGGGCTTCAAAGTCCTTTTAATCTTGACGTCTACTAAGAAACACTGGAGGGTGTAGACGCGCTCTGGAGAATGTTCCAAGTCCTTGCCCTCCCATCTGCCAGCCACTCCTGTCCTGCCACTCTGTTGATCTTCTGACCCACCTATGGACCCTGCTCCCGCATTGGAGAACTCCGCCTTCCTGGGTAGTGATCTCTTAATATCTAATCCCTGCCCCCCAACCCCCACCCCCACTCCCCTTCTCTTTTTGTCTCTTCTTTCTCGTGGCTCTGGGGGGTGGAGCCCTCTATCCTGAGCTGTGCTTTCTGTTTCCAAGGAAGGTCTCTCACCAGCACAGGGCTGGGGCATGTCAACTTTGGGTCATCTGTGGAGCTCTCACGAGTCCCCTGGTAACTGCCACTTGTGGCTGGACCCAATTGCACTTTGTTTCACTCTTCCCTGGCCGAATGTGCTCCTCTATCGGTCACAAACAGCCAGCTGGAGACCATAGGTTCTCTGATGATGTCAGATGTGCCCATCCCCAGAGGCTCAGAAGACCTCCCCAGCAGCTGTTGAGTGGGCCAGTAACCTGCTCTGTTGTGCTCAGACCTTTAATGGTCCTGTGTCAGGGACACTTACTGCCTGTGGGTCCTGGACTTGCCTGGAGGTGTAACACATTACCTTCTTACAACCCCAAAAGCCATGTTACAGCCTCAAGAGCCATAGGAGGTAGGAACTCTTGTTCTTTCTGTAAAAATGACAGATGAGCAGGTGGAAGGCTTACTGGGTGCCAAGCATGGCCACACCCCTCAGCAAGTCTGGTGCAGACTTTCAATAGTGCTGTTGTCAACTAGGTGCTGATATCTCCATTGTGCAGATTGGGAAACTGAGACTCAAGGGGGAAGGAGCACCTCCCAAGTTCCCACAATTGTGAACCCACTTGCCCAACTCTGGTGCCCACTTGGTGGCACTGCTCCCCCTCCTGCCCTCCCTATAGGCAGGGAGTCCCCTCCAGGCCCAGCCCCTTCCCCTTCCCCTAAGGCTTTCCTGCTGCTGGTTAATGAGCAGCCAAGGATAGTGGAAGCCAAGGAGGCCCCTGCTTGCTCTGAGGCTGGAATGTGAGTTCTGTTTCTAGATAAAGAGTCTTGTGCTCGTGGCTGGCCCCATGGGGCCTGGCAGCCTCGCAGGCAGAGAGAGCAGATGGAGGCCAGGCCTATCCTCCTCAGAGCTAATCCGAGATGCCGACCAAGCTGCGGGGACCTTTGGCCCTCAGACTGCCCTACACCACTCCTGTGTAGCCCTCCTGGCTTGCTCTTTCTGAGAAAGCTCATGGCCTCCCCTCCACCCTCCACGCGGTGGTCAGTAGGATTCGCAGGGAGCTTATTACACAGGAGTGGCACATGTTGAGTTCTGGGTGTGGCCTGCCCCCACACATCACGTGGGGCCTCTGGCCTTTGGGTTTCCATCTGAGAAGGGCGAGATAATATCTTTTCAGCCTTATGGTAGAGAGCATAGAGCATAGGCAAGTCCATGGTCATGCTGGCTCCAGGGCTGGGATGTGGCTCAGTTGGGCCCTTGGAAGGCCCGGGTGCCTTCTCTGGCACCACAAAACAACAGGGCTCTCTCAACCTAGCCCCAGTCTGTGCCCGCTGTGTGACCTTGAAGGGACTCGCTAAACATCTCCTCACTGTAAAACAGAGTAGTCGTATCAGTCCAGGAGAACTGTAGTCCACTGCAGGACAGAGATTGGTAGAACAGGTGACATGGAGACTTGGTGAGCCCAGGGGTATTTTATGGGCTCACTAGGACTAAGAGAATTAGTGCCAAGCACCCCACATAGAATTATCTCATCAAAGGAGTCCTTAGAGGAGCTGCACCCCCTCAATTGAAGAGGCAAGTCCACCTTCCAGGGTGCTGCCTTCTGGGATGCCCACTTCTGGGGTGCTAGGTACTCTAAGGAAGAGATTGTGAGCAGGGCATACCTCCTGCTTGTCTGTGGACTCCAATTGTCCTTTGGAAAGTGCCACCTCAGCTCTGCTCAGCAGTATGAGCCTTAGCTCCTGCTCCCTCGAGGCCTCATCAGTGAGAATGGCATTTATTGTGTTTACCCAGATTATAAGTCATGTTTTGAACACAGAAAGTACTAAAAGAAAGGGGGGGAAGTCACCCTTTTTCCACTCTGCAGAGGTGACCACAGTATAATGGTGTGGTGTATGGGTGCACAGGTATCTGTAAATTGCCCAGAGTGGAATATGTCTGTCATCCTACCCACATGGGAGGCTGAGGCATGGAAGTCTCTGTAGCTCAGGCTTTAGCGCAGGAGTTTAAGGCCAGTCAAGGCTGCAGAGTAAGACCCTGTTTTGTTTTTTTTGTTTTTGTTTTTAACATGAAAGATCTGAGCTGGGTAGTGGTGGCGCACGCCTTTAATCCCAGCACTTGAGAGGCAGAGGCAGGCGGATCTCTGAGTTTGAGGCCAGCCTGGTCTACAGAGCGAGTTACAGGACAGGCTCCAAAGCTACAGAGAAAGCCTGTCTTGAAAAACCAAAAAAAAAAAAAAAGAAAAAAAAGAAAAGAAAAAGATGAAAGATCTGGAGTCCTGCTGTGGTGTCTGGGCTGATCTGAAACCCTCAGACTCCCATGCCCTAGCCATCCCTCTGCCTTAGACTTCTGAATACCTGGGACCACAGGTATCCGGCCAACGTTTTCCTCTGGAATTGAGACATAGCATGCCTATGGGCAGGGCTGTCAAACTATTCTTAAAAGAATACGTGAGACCCAGTCCTGATACCCCCCACCCCCTCGTGAGGTACATTTTCCGTTTTCTGTCTCTTTCCTTCGGATGCTGGCTAGACCCCACCTACGCTTTGGGCATCCCGACTCTTTCTCTAAAGCCTCCCTCCTTGCCATGTGGCTACTTGTTTGCTTGACTTTCATTTCAGCTTATCTCAGAGTGGCTTTCCCCCTACACTTCTCCATTCCTATCCTCTGAGCAGTCACTCAGGTTTATAGCTTGCCTGGGGATTTTCTTTAAACTCTAATAAAACTGTCCTCTTTGAATTAAAAAAAAAAAAAAAAAAAAGAATAAAAAGAATACATGTGATCCAGGAGTGCTGACGCATGTCTGTGGTCCCAGACTCCAGAGCCTGAGGCAGGAAGATAGCTGAAAATTGGAAGCCAAATGAGAAATTGTTTAGTTACTCCTTCCGAAAAAACACTCTGCCGTGAACAATGCCCGCTTCTAGTTTGATTGCGATAAACTGTATATATGATGTGTAATTGATCATCCCTTTTGGGAAGGGGCCGAGTGCGGGGGATGGAACTCAGAGCCTCAGTGGGCTAGGCAAGTGTGCTGGCACTGAGCTTTGCCCAGACCCCCCTGTAGACACCCCTGCCTTCAGGGCTGAGTAGGGGTGACAGTCCCGACCCTGCTGCAGGAGCCGGTGCTGAGCTTTTGGGTCTGACAACCTGACTGTGGTTGCACATCGGCATATCTTACACCTTGATGCAGTGTAGAAGTCCTCCCCTTCCCCTGCGTGGGAACGGAACCCAGGGTGCATGCTCACCTCGAATTCTGCCACGCGGGCATGCTTCTCTTCTGGGGTACCGATCTTAAAGGTGCACGGAGTCCCAGTGTCAGGTGTCTGGTTCTCCAGAAGCCACGGTTTTTGACGCTGCTGCCTGCCACCAGTGACAGCTTTGGGGCTCTGAGAAGAAGTGGCACCCCCACTTTAGCAACCCTTCTGCCTTTGGGGCCTCAGAGAAGAGAGGATTTAAAACAGTCCACCCCAGAGCTGTCCCTGCCCAGCCCTCCTCAGAAATGAAAACAAAAACCCATCCACACTAGGAGGTTAAAAATAAATTCTACTCTCTGGTAACCCGGAACCCATCCCTGCCTCCTATGGCCTTTGTCAAAATGGGTATGAAGTCACGCATTGCAGCCTCCTGAGAGGGAAAGGAAAGAAAAACCAAAAGTTCTTGGTACAATGACAGGCATATAGTAATTGCTCAATAAACAGTAGCTGTCATTGCTACACCTTCCTGTTGCTTGTGTGATCGGGCCCTGCTGTTTTGGAGAAGTCAG